CAGAGCTCCATGACTATTGAGTCATATACTAATAAGGAGATGGCAGCAGTTGCAACTACTTAATTTATTTACAGCAACTTTTTGACAAGTTAGCTGCAGATGAGTACCTGAAGGTTGATGGTGCTGAAGTGATCTTCGAGGAAGAATTAACATTTCTTAAGCTAGATGATGCTTTTATGGAAGTCCAAGATCTTTTAGAGGAAGTAAACCACAGTACCCCTGGGAATTCAAGAATATCATATATTAGCAGCATGTTGAAACCTGAGATGAAACAAAAGATCATACATTTTTATGGCCATAAGGGTTTAGAGGAAATGCTTATTGGCTATCAAGCAATATAGGAGAGCCGCACAAGAGAAATGCCAGTAGCCGTTACCTGAAGGAGTACTATCCCACCAAGTGGAAAATGAAGGATCATCAGCGATGACAGTGGGGATGATACCACAACCCCATTAAGAAACGTCAACTATAGCAAGCAATGCAACAATTATAGGCAGGTGACATAGCTGATTCGACAGCAATCATGAATAAAGTAAACAGACCTATTGGCCGTTTCTTTCATAAACGTGTAAAGGGGTCAATTGAGGTTCATATCTTGAAACAAGTGCTACATCTACTGGTGCTATGAAGTAGCAGAGGAGATGTCTCATGGCTTTCATCCAAGCCTGCATTTGAGAAGAAGAAGGTAGATCACTCAACTCAAAAAAAGGGGGGGGGGGACGTAAATCTTAGGTAATGGATCCTCAATTGCAGTAATAACGAACAAATAAAATTAGAAGAGGAGTCATCTGCAGGTGCAACACGGGACAGGTTCGATAGAGAGCATACCTGTGGAGAAGAGATAATTGGAACATCTAAATCTTAAATAATGAGAAGAGGAGACTGTCGAGCAGAAGACATATGAGCCAGGGGAGTCATAATTAATAAAAATGAATTAAATAATACAGTTACATTAACAAGTAGAATTAAAATTTTAATTTCAATTCACTAAAATTTTATTTCATTAAAATTAAATATTCTTATATCTCATCTAATTTGAATATATCTCATCTAATTTGAATATATGAGAATTTTAAAGTGAAAAATAATTAATTAACTATATCACTTGAATTACAATAATTTACTTACAATAATTAATTATGCTAATTAATGTTTCAGTCTATTACTTGAGAATTTCATATAAAAACTTATAAGTTTACTTTTTATTTTTTAATTAAAAATAAATAAGTAAATTATTTAAATTAAAGTAAAATAATTATAAATCACAATAATTTTCTTGAAAATTAGATTCAATTCAATTTTAAAAAATATAAATTATATAGTCCGCACATCGCTCACATACATGACTAGTTATATACCAGTCTTCAAGGGAGACAATTCAGTATTATTCAATTTGAAGTCATGGTTAATACAAAAGATAAGTACTAGAAAATACTTAAGATTTGACCGCAATTATTATTGCATTGCTACTTTTTAATCTACAATTAAATTATTAAATTATTTTGTTTTTTAATCTACAGTTAAATTATTTAATTATTTTGTTTAAAATGTGTCATTTTAGGGGGTGTTTCATAATATTTAATTATTTTTTGCAGATGACTCACTTTTCTTCTTCAAAGCATCCAATGCTGAAGCCACTATTGTTAAAGGGATCTTAGCTACATATGAGAGTGCTTCTGGTCAATCGATTAATTTTCAGAAGTCTGGCATTACGTTCAGTCCGAAAACTAGCATGACTGTGAAAGCTGATATCAGCCATATTCTAGGTGTTTTTAACCCCTTTGAGGGTGGGTCTTACCTGGGTTTACCTTCTCTGATTGGTAGGAATAAAAGACAAGTTCTTGGTTTCCTAAAAGAAAGAATGTGGAAGCATATAAATAGCTGGTCTAACAGATTTCTTTCCAAAGCAGGGAGAGAGATACTTATTAAGTCGGTGATTCAAGCATTGCCGGCTTATTGCATGAGTATCTTTGAATTACCTCTGAGTCTATGTGCTGAGTTGGAAAAAATGATGAATAGTTTTTGGTGGGGTTCGAAGGTAGTGAGAAGAAGCTCCATTGGTTAGCTTGGAATCGAATGTGTAGGAGTAAAAAAGATGGGGGAATGGCTCCATTGGTTAGCTTGGAATCGAATGTGTAGGAGTAAAAAAGATGGGGGAATGGGTTTTAGGGATTGTTTTAATATGGCTATGTTAGCGAAACAGGGGTGGCGTCTTTTGACTTCACCTAATACTCTCCTTTATAGAGTTTTCAAATCTAAATATTTTTGTGACGGGAGGTTGCTTGATGCACAAACAGGTCATAACCCTACTTTTCTCTAGAGGGGTATAATGTCTTCTAACATGGTCTTGAAATATGGAGTTAAGTGGAGGGTTAGCAATGGTAGGCGTATTTCTGTTGTGAAGGACCCTTGGTTACCCATTGATGGAGTCTTTTATGTGGAGGATGATAGTCTCTTTATTGATAATAATCTCCTCTTTATTGATAATAATCTCCTGGTGAAAGATCTTTTGGTGGAGGGGAGAGAAAATGAGATGTGGCAAAGATTATTAATCTTTTTTCTTTGAGGGATATCCATACTATTCTTGATATTCCCTTAATGTAAGAGATTTGGGGGATGAGCTGATTTGGCATTATGATAAGAAGGGTAATTTTAGCGTTAAATCTTCTTACTATCTTGCCTTGAGGGTGTTGGAAGGGGTGATGAGAGCATAGAAGGTGAGGGGTGGGGGAGTATCTGGAAGTTGAATGTCGCACCAAAAGTCAGAGATTTCATTTGGAGAGCTTCGCGTAACTTATTGCCTACTCGACGGAGATTGAGCAGGCGGGGTGTGAATGTGGACACTATATGCTATATGCCCTTATTGTGAAATTTTGGAGGAGGATGTTAATCATGCATTATTATTGTGCACAAGGTGTTGGAGGTTTGGAAGGTGTGTAGGGTGGAGGAAGCTTTACTAAACTTTTCTTTTAAAAACTCTTTATTTGCAGGTCCTTGACGCAAAAACAATAACGAAAAGTTAGCTTTTTGGTAAACGCCCCAAAATTATCTTGACCTCTTAAAAATGAATATTATTTTTATCGAGTCATGAATAGTGCTACAGAGAGGGGGGATAATATTTTTATTTTAGATCCGAGGAGATATTTGAGTATAATTAACTATGAATGGATATGATTTAACCCAGTTAATGAATAGTACCACCGGTCTGTTGAATAGTACTACAGGTCCGGGAGTCGGTATTATTTTAGTCGGAAAATCCTATAATATGTTTTATATTTTCTTTAATATTTTGAGTATGGTATGCATGATTTTTAATGGGTAGAAAGTAAGCTAATAAATATTTTTTTTGGAGAAATTTAGATAATTAGTGAATAGTGAAGTATGATGCTTTATTTAATTAAGGAAAATTTGAGAATATTTATGGAGTAATTTGAGAAATTTTGTGGAGATAAAATAAATACTTTTGAAAGGAAATTGAATTTGGAGAATATTTTAGCCATTAGATGAGATTTACGTTTGACTTAATCTTTAGCCATCCAAAATTGTGGGCAAAGACCAAAAACACCCTTAGTTGCTTTTAAAGATTCAAACTCCAATAATGAGCAACCACTTTTTCTCTTCTTCTTCTTCTCTTCAACGCAACTTCCTCTCCTTCTTCTCTTTTGTTTTCTTACAACTTCTACTTGGATAATCCACACCAAATTCACCTCAATCCAACCTGAATTTAAGTAATTAATCCTAGAGAATTAAGGTTTGAGAAGTGGTTTTTGGTGACTAATTTTCAAGAAATTCGGAGATTCTCTAACTTGAGGCCAAAAGGTTGGCGGAAACCTTCTAACAACGGTGGTAAAGGCAAAGCTAGGCTTTGAGAGACTTTAATCCAACGCTTATTTTTAAGGTTAGTGTTCATAACACAATTCCTTTTGTTAAAATTTTTTTGGATTTTGTGAAGTTTAACAATTTTGTGAAATTTGGAATTATATAATGAAATGATTTTGATTTATTTAACTTTTGGGTGGTATACAATGTGTTCTTGGAGATTTTAAGCATGCCTATATTGTTAATTGATGAAGGAAAACATTTCTTCTTCCATCTTCCAAAGAGTGGCAGAATCTATTGAATGAATAAGGCCTTAGAGTTCCTATCATTTTATTCTTTGTTGGGTTTATGCTCTTAGGAATTATGTTTTGATGAGTATTTAGTATGTGTATGTGGTAGAAATCTCTACCTTGTATCTATGTCTTTCATGTTCTTTTCATGGTTAAAGTAAGCTGAATTTGGGAAAATGTGTTATTGGGTGAGATTCAGGACAATTTTTTTATCCTTTCTATTCTCTATTTGTGTCTAAGTCCATCATGAAAGTTGTAGGTCTACTTCTTAGCTTTCCAACCCATCCTCTTATGTCCAATTTGGATATATATAGCACAACTTATGGCTGAAAAACCCAAACTGACTCTGTTATGCCGGGCCACATGCATCTTTGAATTGAGTGCCCATTTTGACCACTATAATGGAAAGATTTAATGGAAAGATTATGTTTTGAGTTTCTTCATGAAGAGTTGTTTGCCGCTGTTGTCTTGAGACTTCCCCTGGTTTTTGGATTTGGTTTCATTTGAGGTGTTTTGGTGAAGTTAGGAATTCAATAAATAATTTGGGACTTTGTTCTGCTGAATTCAGGTCTGAATCTGTTGGTCTGTGTTCCTAGCTTTTTGTTTGCTATCTTAACCGGATTGATCTGGGCTGTGGTCGCTTTCATAATATTGTAGCATTTTGGCCTTTAAGCTTCTAATGAATCTGTTTCATTCAATTGGAGACCCATAACTCAGTTATGTTTAAAACCCAGCAAGGTTCAATGGTTATTTTTAATGCTGGAAATTTCCTATGCCTCTATGCCTTGAATCATAGGTTTATTTGGATAAATGTATGTATGAATCATGTGTGATGAGGTTATTTGTATGTTTGAGGATTGATTTGACAAAAAAAAAAAGATGAAAACGAAATGAAATTATTATCTAATAAAAAAAAAAACATATTACTCGCTAAACTTGTGAATACTCAATTACTTCTGATTCATAATCTAATTTTATGATTTGTATGTTAAATTAAGACGATGTCTCCGGCACTGAATGTGGCATCCGTCATCGGGTCTCATGGGACTGGGCGAAGGGTGTTACAGCTTTTATCTCTTATGTCGCATGGAGTGTGTGGGATGCTAGGAACAAATTTCTTTGGTAACAAATAGATTGGACTCCTTTGAATGTTAGTGCTACAGCTTCTATTCTTTTTCAAGACTTCAAGAATGCCTTGGTGATAGCATACTCATTCTTGATAAGTTATGATGATGTCTAAACTATGAATGAGTATGCTATCAATGAGTGAGAATTTTTTATTTGTTTATGGAGTGTGCTTGTAATCTGGAATTTCAAAATGTGTGCTTTTGGATGATAACAAATATTAGTACCGAACATTCAAAGGTTGTGATTATCTCGGCTAACGGAATGGATTATAAGGTTGTGATTATCTCGGCTAACGGAATGGATTATCATCCTTAACGAAGGGCTTGTTTGTTCTGATGGATTTATCTGAGCTTTGGGCCCATAGAAGGAAAATTATGATTACGTCTCTTTTATGTATACCATTTATGTGTTGAAATGCTACTGCTCTATCCCATTTATGTGTTGAAATACAACTATTCTCCCATATTTTCATTTCGTCCTAGCTCTTAGTCCTTTGGTCTAATTTTATTTTAAAATTTCATTTGTTAAATAAAAAAAAGAGGGTAAAAAAGGAATGAAATAATCCAAAAGGTACTCTTTTATCTTTTTCTATTAAACAAATAAGAACAAGAACTAAACATATTTTCCTAAGTTTTTACATTAAAGAATTTATTAGCATAAATTACGTAAAAAACTTTGTAACCCTTAATTTTTTTGTTAGTATATTAAGCACTTGAACCAAAAAAAACCTTGTATCACCTTCATTTTTCATATTTTCTTTTGGAGGGAAACATCAAGAAGCAAATTAGAAAGAAGATAAAAAGTCTAATTTGGAGGGGAGAGAATTGCATTTGGGTATTGAGATAAAATTGCATCTAATTAAAAAATTATAAATTAATTTATTTTTGTCACGTTAACTTTTCGGTTTTTTTGTCACAGGTAGCGATGGAGCGGTGTGTGTATTTTAAAATATCTATTCCGCTTAAAAAAGATATAAGTAGTTATAAATGAGTTTAAGACATACGAATAATGAAATTACTACGTTATCCCTAATATGTGAAAGTATAAACGTAATTTCATAGTCATTCGGTAGGCTATGGTTATAGGTCTTCCGCTACTCGTTATCCGCTATATTATACGGATTTAACAATAGATACTTGCAGGTATCCTATGCACTAATAGTGAAAATTGTATTTTAAATAAGTGTGGATTTGAATAGTTTTAGATTCGCGGGTACCCTATCCATATAAGGGTACTTTAAACAGGTTTTGAACGATTATGGGTATTAAAAATTTAAACGGTTTTAAATATTGGTAGTTAAATAGATATTTAAACGGGTTTGGATAATAAAATTTTAAATGGACATAGATTCGGATATTTTAAAATTCATGGATACTTGCCTTACTTCCATCCCTAATCATAGGATTATGGTTAAAGAGAGTTTAGTATTATTCGAAGTTTAGAGCGTTTTAAGTGACAAACTAAAGTTTTGGGACAATAAAGTAATTATACCTAAGATGAGGAATATCAGAGTGAAAATAAGCCTTTCCAACTTCTTGTGTGGATTTTGACATCTTTACGAAGAGTAGTCTCTTATCTTTAATAACCAAAACAAAGAAACTCATAGGGTATCAACCCCTCTCTTTAAAAACCACAAAGAGAAAAGGATTTTGTTGTTGAGCTTGAGAAAAGGTTGAGCGATAGGTTTGGGTTTACACAAAGAAAGAATCTTAGAGAGAGAGAGACAGAATTAAGGTTATTAAATGAAGAAAAAAAATTTGAGATGAAAATGTTGAGGCTATTTAAATTATTTTGTAATCACTCAACAGGAAAATATATTATATTGGATGAAATGAGTGAAAATTAGATGGAATGAAAATATATAGACTTCGAAAAATATTTCTAAAAAATTAGAATAAAATAATTTAAAAAATATTTCTAAAAAATTAGAATAAAATAATTTAGTTCAATATATATAAAGACGTAATCATAAGTTTTCCATTAAAAGATGATATTGCAAACAGTTGTATTCATTCCTTAGTAAATGTATTAAAGGAAAAATTGTTATTTCCTCCCTGATATTTCTATAATTGTATTTTGAAGAATAGACTAAAACATTATCTTTGATTTATGCATTTGTTGCCAAATAGTCTTTGAGCATTTTTTTTGTTGTGAGGTTTTGAGAAAAAGAAAATATTGTACACGCATAGTCTAGTGGTAAGTGTATATACGACGTGATTATAGATCTAGGTTCGAATTTCCCTTCTCTGATATTAAAAAAAAAAACCCTAATACTAAAAAAAAAAAAAAAAATTAGCTTTGTATAGCTCTGATCATTATATTTTAACGCTAGTTAAATGGTTTGATTTTGTTTACAATTTGATTAACTGCTTCCAAAACAATTTGATTTGATTGTTATTTAATTAAACCATTTAAAATTAAATTAAACCACCTTAATAACAAATCCTAAATCAATAGTTTATTTTAGCAAGACAACTTGCACCAACCCAACAAAATAAATTAATGCTACATAATATTTAACAACCCTAACCGCCTCTAGAAAGAAAAAATAACTCTACAAGATAAAAGTAACTAGAAAAAAATATACACTATAGTCTACAAGTACTTTTAAAAGTTTATGATTTTTTTTTATTTTTAATTTTCTTTATTTGCCTTTAATTTTTCATTTTTTACCAATAGTTATTTAATTAGTTCTAAACCTTTTGCTAGTTGGAAATTTTTTTTATGTTATATATTATATATTATATATAAGTTTACTATGGTGTTTAATTATAATTAGTGCATATCATTAAATTATTTTGATAATATAAATGACAAATCAAACCGCATCAAATCACTTTCTTGCAATTTAATTTGATTTGATTTCATTGGTTAAATGGTTTGATCTATATAAACTGAAATTTGTAGTTTGGTTTGGAAGCGCTCTTTTCAAAAACGATATCTTCTCTTTGAAATACTCATGTTCAGTGCTGAAATTATTCATAATTTTAACAATCTCATTTTTCATGATCTTCTTACTCATGTTCAGTGCTGAAATTATTCATAATTTTAACAATCTCATTTTTCATGATCTTCAATTCAACTCTCGCTGAGAGGCCAAGAAGCTGGTAGTTATTACATTTTTATTCTCAAACCGATTCTTGTAAATAGGTTTGAGAAAGTTCAAAGTAAAGGAGTGGGGTTTTGATTTTGATTTGATTGAGATTTGCATGCGTTTTATTCTCAAATCATTTCCTGTATTTTCTTGTCACGTTTTTTTGTTAGTATTTTTCTTGTCACGCTTTTTTGTTAGTATTCTGAAATGTCTTTCAATAATTTTCTTAGTCACATAGAACTTCTCACCGAAAAGGGGGCAATAGAAAGGAGGCAATAGAAAGTCCTTGGATGAATGAAAGGCAGGGATCGTTTGGTAAAATTCAAACATTTCTCCCATCATGAGTGGGCCTCTTTTCAATAATTCCATTCCCACGCAACTGGCTTTGGTTTCCGGCTGTCTGTCTTTACAAAATCTAATAATGCTAAAAATTGCTAAAAATTTCCTAAATTTATGGACGAGTGTTGGAATGAATGATTCGATATCGAGAGTTCAATACTCATAGATAGAGTAAATTCGTATTTGGACCACTTTATTCCTTAATAAATCGATCATTTTCTGAACAGAATCTAATCTCTTCGTTGGAGATTAAAAAAAAAAAAAAATCCTCTCATATATTTGATTCTTATTTATGTTGACATTATGAAATATTTTCAGTAATTTCTGTCTTAACACGGGATTCAATTTTGATTTTGTTATTTAACAATTTAAAAAAGTATTAATTAGTCGATATTCCTGATTTCATTTATTTCGACAACATAAAATTATTTTTTGAATTAGAGTTTAATGTATTAAAAATTATTTAACTCATACAAATTTAATTTAATTATAAAGAAAAAAAAAAAAGAAATCATCATGTGTGGATTTTGATATTTTAGAGAGTTTAGAGAGTTTTAAGTGACAAACTAAAGTTTTGGGACAATAAAATAATTATCCGTAAGATGAGGAATAACGAGTGAAAATAAGCCTTTCCAGCTTCATGTGTGGATTTTGATATTTTTGCGAAAGAGTAGTCTCTTATCTTTAATAACCAAAACAAAGAAACTCATAGGGTATCAACCCCTCTCTTTAAAAAACCACAGAGAGAAAAGGATTTTGTTGTTGAGCTTTGTCAGAAAAGGTTGAGCGATAGGTTTGGGTTTACACAAAGAAAGAATCTTAGAGAGAGAGACAGAATTAACGTTATTAAATGAAGAAAAAATATTTGAGATGAAAATGTTGAGGCTATTTAAATTATTTTGTAATCACTCAATAGGAAAATACATTATATTGGATGAAATGACTAAAAATTAGATGGAATGAAAATATATAGACTTCAAAAAATATTTCTAAAAAATTAGAATAAAAAAAATATTTCTAAAAAATTAGAATAAAATAATTTAGTTCAATATATATAAAGACGTAATCATAAGTTTTCCTTTAAAAGATGATATTGCAAACAGTTGTATTCATTCCTTGGTAAATGTATTAAAGGAAAAATTGTTATTTCCTCCCTGATATTTCTATAATTGTATTTTGAAGAATAGACTAAAACATCTTTGATCTATGCATTTTTTGCCAAATAGTCTTTGAGCATTTTTTTGCTGTGAGGTTTTGAGAAAAAGAAAAAATTGTACACGCTTAGTCTAGTGGTAAGTGTACATACGACATGATTATAGATCTAGGTTCGAATTTCCCTTCCCCGATATTAAAAAAAAAAAAAAAAACCCCAATACTAAAAAAAAAAAAAAAATTACCTTTATATAGCTCTGATCATTATATTTTAACGCTAGTTAAATGATTTGATTTTGTTTACAATTTGATTAACTGTTTCCAAAACAATTTGATTTGATTGTTATTTAATTAAACCATTTAAAATTAAATTAAACCACCTTAATAACAAATCCTAAATCAATAGTTTATTTTAGCAAGACAAAAGACAAGTTGCACCAACCCAACAAAATAAATTAATGCTACATAATATTTAACAACCCTAACCGCCTCTAGAAAGAAAAAATAACTCTACAAGATAAAAGTAACTAGAAAAAAATTTACACTATAGTCTACAAGTACTTTTAAAAGCTTATGATTTTTTTTTTTAATTTTTCATTTTTTACCAATGTTTAGTTAGTTCTAAACCTTTTGCTAGTTGGGAATTTTTTTTTTATGTTATATATAAATTTACTATGGTTTTTAATTATAATTAGCGCATATCATTAAATTATTTTGATTATATAAATCACAAATCAAACCGCATCAAATCACTTTCTTGCAATTTAATTTGATTTGATTTAATTGGTTAAATGGTTTGTGTTGGATTTAATTTTCTATTGTGGGCTTAATATGTAAAATTAAATATGTACATACAGCAGTCTAATTGTAAAGTCAATTTCAAATGTGG